ACAAGCTCTCTGCCATTGGAGGTATTATCTATTGCCATCAGAGTTTGTGTTATTTTTTGATCATCAGGCATTGAAATACCTTTACTTCCAAAGAAAATTGAGTGTTAGGCACGTTAGGTAGATTGAATTCCTTCAGGAGTATACTTTTGTTCTTCACGACTGAGTGGACATTAAAAACAAACATGCAGATGCTCTTAGCCGTGTAGTTGCTGTTTTACAGCCTATGAGTGTTCATGTGATCGACTTCGACCGGATTAGAGATGAGTATGTCTCTTGTCCTTACTTTGGTATCATTTTTCAGGATGTTCAAGCTGGTAACCGTCATGGGTACATTGANCCAAGAGGGTCATCCTATTGCTTACTTCAGCGAAAAGCACAATGAAGCTAAACAACGATACTCTACATATGACAAAGAGTTCCACGCTGAGGTACAAGCTCTCTACCATTGGAGGTATTATCTATTGCCATCAGAGTTTGTGTTATTTTTTGATCATCAGGCATTGAAATACCTTTACTTCCAAAGAAANGATAGACTTTATGAATGGTTGATCATACCTTTTGGATTGTCTAATGCACCTAGCACATTTATGAGGGTTATGACTCAGATATTGNAATAGACTTTATGAATGGTTGGTCATACCTTTTGGATTGTCTAATGCACCTAGCACATTTATGAGAGTTATGACTCAGATATTGCGTCCTTTCTTAGAGAAATTTGTGGTGGTCTATTTTGATGACATCTTGATCTATAGTCGGTTTAACGAAGAGCACTTGGATCACCTTCGATAGGTTTTTCAAACATTACGTGTGGAAAAATTCTGTGCAAACTTTAAGAAGTGCTCATTTATGCAAACTTAAGTGTATTTTCTTGGATTTGTTTTTTCTGCGCATGGTATTGCAGCTGACCCAGAGAAAATTTGTGCTATTAGGAATTGGCTGGTGCCAAAAATAATTTTTGAGGTTCGAAGTTTTCATGGTTTGGCCACCTTCTATAGACGATTTATTAAGGAGTTTAGTTCCATTATGGTTCCCATCACAGAGTGCATGAAAAAAGGAGAGTTTCAATGGACTCTTGCTGCATCTAGAGCCTTTCAAGAAGTTAAGCACAAGATGACTGAGGCACCCATCTTTTGACTCCTAAATTTTTTTAAGGTGTTTGAGGTTGCCTGTGATGCATCTGGTGTAGGGATAGGTGGAGTTTTGAGCCAAGAGGGTCATCCTATTGCTTACTTCAGCGAAAAGCACAATGAAGCTAAACAACGATACTCTACATATGACAAAGAGTTCCACGCTGAGGTACAAGCTCTCTACCATTGGAGGTATTATCTATTGCCATCAGAGTTTGTGTTATTTTTTGATCATCAGGCATTGAAATACCTTTACTTCCAAAGAAAATTAAGTGTTAGGCACGTTAGGTAGATTGAATTCCTTCAGGAGTATACTTTTGTTCTTCACCACTGAGTGGACATTAAAAACAAACATGCAGATGCTCTTAGCCGTGTAGTTGCTGTTTNAAGGCATATTATAAAGCCTTAGAGATTGAAAAATACTTGAGGCCACCCTTTCAACGCCGCATGCCTTCTCAAATTGGAGAGTCTCAATCATTGAAGTCAGTCCCATTTGATAAGTCTCGAGGTGTCATCCAGCCAAGGCCTGTCACATTTAGGGATAACACTTACCCCAACTCGAGAGGTAATGCCACTAGGANGAGGCATATTATAAAGCCTTAGAGATTGAAAAATACTTGAGGCCACCCCCTTTCAACGCCGCATGCCTTCTCAAATTGGAGAGTCTCAATCATTGAAGTCAGTCCCATTTGATAAGTCTTGAGGTGTCATCCAGCCAAGGCCTGTCACATTTAGGGATAACACTTACCCCAACTCGAGAGGTAATGCCACTAGGAGTCGAGACTCTACACTTACGGGTTTTTGCCAGGATAGTTCTTCCATAGAGTATCTCTGTTGTCATGGCAAGGGTCATATTGTTTCACAGTGCCCTCAACGTACATTGACCAAGGGTTAGAGAATTTACTTGACGGAGAGGATGTTGACCAAAAAATTGATCATTTAGATGGGGAACCCCTAGAGTTATTAGATGAAGGTGAGGAAGAATGGCAGAACGATGACACTCATGTTAGTGTGATGCGATGCATCTTATCCAACCCTTCAAGCACATAAGNCTACATAGGGGGTTGCCTATTTCCATTGTGTCTTATAGGGATGTCAAATTTGTGAGTTATATTTGGAAGACACTTTGAAAATTCTTTGGGACTAGTCTAAAATTTTTTTCTGCCTTTTATCCCCAAATTGATGGTCAAACTAACGTTGTCAATCGTAGCGTGAGAGATTTGCTTAGGTGTCTAGTGGGTGAGAAGATGGAAAATTGGGATTTGTTGTTGCCTATTGCTAAATTTGCCTATAACAACTCCGTTAATAGGTCGATTGGTAGATCTTTTTTTGAGATTGTTATGGCCATTCCCCTAGACAACCTATTGAGTTATTACCTTTACCTCTTGATTCCCGTCCTTCACACTCAGCCGAAGTTTTTGCCCTGCATATTCATGACTTACATGCCGACATAAGACAGAAAATTACATTAAGTAATGAAGATTATAAATTGACTGCAGAAGTTCACTGTAAGAATAAAGAATTTACTGTGGGAGATTATGTCATGGTTCGTGTGCGTCTTGAACGTTACCCAAAAAATTCTTTCAAAAAGTTACATGCTCGAGTCATCGGTCATTTTTGTATTTTTCGTAAATTTGGACCTAATGCATATCACCTTGATTTACCTTCGAATATGAGTATTAGTCATATTTTCAATGTGGAGAACTTGTTTCCTTATCATGGTATTTTTGAGCCTCCTATGTTGCCAGCAGGTGTTCCTACTGGTGGAGTTGTTTCATCATCAGCATTAGCTACAGTTTCTATTTTTTCACCATTTCTGCCACAGTTGCATGACCAGATTGAAGAAGTACTTGGTAATTTGATTGTGGGTTTTTCGGATGGAGGATATCGTTGTTATCGTGTTTGGTGGAGAGATCGTCCAGAGATTGATGCTTCATGGATTACTGAGGAGTTTCGTCTGCTTGACCCTGATATTCTAGAGCATTATCATGATCATATCTCTCCGGACGCGAGTTCTTTTCAGCTAGGGGAAAATGATAGGAATCGGATTGTATTTCGTTATAGTAGGCGTAGACGTAGGGATTATGAGTTATTTGTCATTTTGCTTTTCAAGGGCTCAGTTGTCATTTTGACTATTTATTTATTTTAAGATTTGTGCTCTCCTTATATATAGGGGATATGGTATTTGTTTTAGGAGACTTTGATTATTATTTAATATTTTTGAATACTAATATTGCTTTCTCCTCAAATTCTCTCTTTTCAAATTTCTTTCTTCTTCTCTTCTCTTTTCTAATTCTTCCCTTCCTAGTCTACATCACCTGGCCACGTTGAAAATGAGAATATTGTACCTGACAAATGTCTTGTTCATGAAAGATAGATCCTAGACTCCTAGTCTAAAAAGTGAGATATTGAAAAGGGCCAAGAACAAAAGGAGAAGCAAATATAATGTGAAATGAGTTGGCTTGTGTTATTCTTAGAACCCAGAAGCTTCTTGGAACAGTTAGTCAGATCGCCTAACATTAAAGATCAAGGAGGCGTAATACAAGGTCAGCAGCAGCTTGACGGTTGCATGAATAATTTTGGGCTGCTGTTGGGAATTGAATTGGTGTTGTGATCTTGTTAAGGAGTATTGTGATTGAAGTTAGAGGCATGTTACTGAATGCATAAAGAATGACAGGTTAATGTTGACTTCTGTATGGGTTGGAACATGGATTACATTTTTTGAAAGTGACTTCCAATACCGGGAATGAAATACATTTTACCAAGTCACATTTCTGTCTATTCATTGACCGCTGTCATCCCAGTGAATAATCTTCTTATGAATATGCAGGACGTCTGGCAAGGCACTCAGCTTCTAGCTATTGATGTTACTGCAGCTATGGGGTTGCTTAGAAGGGTGCTAATAGGAGATGAGTTGACAGAGAAAGAAAAGCAAGCTCTCCGAAGAACTTTAACTGACTTGGCATCTGTAGTTCCAATTGGCTTTCTCATGCTTCTTCCTGTGAGTTCAAATAAGCTTATTTCTTATTTGCTCTGTGCATGCCAGTTTATCTGCTTATTTTCATTTGCTGTGGTGTTTGTCATGCACTATGGAACGTGAGCAGATCTACATAAGACAAAAATTTCTGTGGCCTGCATTGTGTGAACTGTAGCTGATTGTCTTCAAGCCAATTTCTTTGTTTGGCTGGCTTGGGCAAATTGTCAACCAATTAAAGCAATTTATTCAAACTGATGTCTCATGCTTATTAAGTGATTCATGGAGATCAATAAGCTTTGCTTTCATGTAATTATTCATCCTTTAAGCACGAAGTATGTACACTAGAGAAAATGTTTTTATGTTCTGTTTCTCTTGGTCTTGACTCATTGTAACCTAACATCTAATCCTTAACACATGCCATGCAGGTTACTGCTGTAGGTCATGCAGCAATGTTGGCTGCAATTCAGAGATATGTACCCGCTCTTGTATGTATTTTCTGACCCAGGGTTGTCTTGTCTTATATATATATCAAGCCCAACCAGTACTTACGTTGTTATGCTTTTGTGGCAGATACCCTCCACATATGGACCAGAAAGGTTAGATCTCTTGAGGCAACTTGAGAAGGTTAAGGAAATGGAGACCAGTGAGGTGAACTCGAACGAAAATTCTGAGGAATTCCCGAGTAGAAGCATGCCAGATGATTAGTTTCGGAGAAAGGTTTTCTATTATTCGGCTGCTATCTAGCCATCATTTTTGTTGTAGCCTGGTTCTGAGTCCATTTGACTATAGTTGCACATAAAGAAGTTCATTCCATGTGTCTGGGACTCCATGTAGGCCCCAATGGCTGCAGTCTTCAGGGGAGGANGGAGAAAGGTTTTCTATTACTCGGCTGCTATCTAGCCATCATTTTTGTTGTAGCCTGGTTCTGAGCCCATTTGACTATAGTTGCACATAAAGAAGTTGATTCCATGTGTCTGGGACTCCATGTAGGCCCCAATGGCTGCAGTCTTCAGGGGAGGAGATTGGAGTGCCTGGCTATCGATGGCTCGAAGGGTGACCATCTTTCCTAGATTCTGTCAGATATGTAATGCTTAATAGCTGAACCTTTCTCTTTGCACCTTCCATCTGTTTGACTACCTCAGAAATAAACAGCTTATTCATTGGCTCGGGTTCCAGTTGTGTAATCTGTTTCTGGTGCAACATTATTATCACGGTGAACCCCTTCTTCCAGGTTCCACCCCTGCAATTCAAGATGAAGAAGTTACACGGCACCAGATGAGTATTGAAAACTTAACGTGGCCTAAACCCAGAAGCAGCAAACCGAACAAAATACTTGGGGCATGTTTGCTTCGAGTACAATCAAAATATATTATGACTGAATAATGAATTTTCATTCAATTCATATAAATGGCATTAATAATAATATCAAATTTGAATAATGAGTTTTGTACAACAAGTTTGGATTAGGGTTGAGATAAGGTATAAATTTATAATAATAATATCAAATTTATGTTTGGATTAGATATTCAATAATAATAAGATGGTAGTTTTTGAATTGTCAAAGTAAATTTACTACAAAGACGATTGAGATGAATTTAAAATTAATCCAAAGGGCAAAAATTAATACCCAATTTTTGCTTTCCCACCCAAGGATTTCAACATTCCACCTCCCTCTAGGGGTGCAATTCGGGCAGGTTGAACAAGCTGAGAGGTCAACTTTAGTTCAACTCTAGGTATATAATTTTTAATTCTAATTATAATCTTACATCAATCGGAGATACTCAAATCGAGTATTGTCCGAGTTTAATTTGAACGGGTTTGAGTTGAATTCAGATTACTTAATTCGGCTGATTTTTAAGTTAAAAATTGTGTTGTATTTGGATTACTTAATTCAGGTTGATTTTTTTACGTGTAGATCTAATTTTTTTCAAGTGATTTGAAATGAATAGTGAGGTGTAGATGAAGACAAAAAAAGTGAGAAAATGAGAAGTGACGAGTGAGAATGAGAGACTGAGAGTCTGAGACGAGTCAGATAAGTGACGATTGAGAGATGGAGAAGTGACAAGTGAGAGAGAGAAATCTAAGAGTGTTGGAGGCTTAGGGATGAAGACTTGAAGTGAAGTGAAAGTTTGGACTCTAAAGAGTGTAGATAAACATTAATTCTAGTTAAATATATTTATATATTTATGTATATTCAGGTTTAACCTGATTTTAATATTAGGGTTGAACCCGACAACCCAAGACTTTCCTAAATTCAATTCAAGTTCGAGTTTTTTATTCAGGCTCAATCCAAGTATTAAAAATTCTAACACAATTCTTTTTTTTTCAGGTTGAATTCGGGTTGGCTCTATCAAATTGCACCCCTACCTATCTCTCTCACTGCCTTTTCTCTTTCTTCCCTTTCCCACTCTAATCTCTATTCTCTTACCCATTTTAACTAATAAATGTTGAGTGTGACGGTTATATCACGTTATCATATTGATAGAGTGCAATTGTCCAACAATAAGATAATATGTGAGTGAATAAGTAGATTTCACATAGGATAATTATTGTATAACATGGATAGGTAGTTATTTATATAATAAAGTACAATATAATTTAAATTTTAAAAGATAAATAAAATAATTTTTATTTTTTGTGGTTGAGATCATTTTAAATTTTATTTTAAAGTTAATTTGACGATTAATATTAATTTTTCAAATTTAAAAGAAAAAATAGACTCAAGTGATTTTTCAAAAGTGTTTCTAGAAATTATGACTTATAAACATTTTAAAAAAAAATAGTGTTTGGAACAACAAATTTTAATTACTTTTAAATAAATCAAAAATAATTTTATCACTTAAATAAGTAAGTAAAAGTAAAAAAAAAAAACTTTTATTTTTTGAAAATCACTTCTCTGCAAGATACTTCATCACCGACACCGCCACCACCACCCCATCACAACTGTCGCCACCCCACCGCCACCACCATCATTACCACCACTATTGTCACTGTCGTCACCCCCACCACCACATTTGTAATAACCACCACCACCATCGCCCCTCGGCCCCCCATTACCACTAACTCACAACCATCATTGTCACCACTGCCACCAGCATTGCCACCACTATCACCAGCATTGCCACAGTCGCCACCCCCCCACCATGTCCACCACCGTCGTCACTCACTACCGATTGTTAACACTGTCACCACTTATTACTATCATCATCTCATTTTTATATTTATTACTATTACAATCATCATCCCACAACTACCATCGCCTGTTGCCACCCCCCCCCCCCCCCCCCACCGCCC